CCTTCAATTTCTGGTAAAGTTGGAGTATCTGTGAAGGCTGAAGTTGAAGATTCAGACACCTCTGTTGTTGTGATTTCAGGTACTGAAGTAGTTTGAACTTCAGTGACTGGTGTTGTTGAGCCTTCAATTTCTGGTAAAGTTGGAGTATCTGTGAAGGCTGAAGTTGAGGATTCCATAATATCTGTTGTTGTGATGTCAGTTACTGATGTAAAATGGTCCTCGGTGACTGGTGTTGTTGATTGTTCAGTTTCTGTTGAAGCTGGGGTATCTGTGAAGGCCGAAGTTGGAGATTCCGATTCCCCTGTTGTTGTGATTTCAGTTAATGATGTAGTTTGGTCCTCAGTGACTGCTATTGTTGAATATTCAACTTCTGTTGAATTTAAGTTAAGTGTGCTGGCTGAAGTTGGGGATTCAGATACCCCTGTTGTGATTTCAATTGCTGATTTAGTTTGGTCTTCAGTGACTGCTGTTGTTGAGCCTTCAGTTTCTGGTACAGTTGGAGTATCTATGAAGGCTGAAGCTGGAGATTCTGATACATCTGTTGTTGTGATTTCAATTACTGATGTCAAATGGTTCTCAGTGATTGCTGTTGTTGAGTGTTCAGCTTCTGTTGAAGTTGGGGTATCTGGAACTGAAGTTTCAGACACACCCGCAGTAGTACCCTCAGTTTCTGGGGTACTGTTATTCTCAGTGACTGTTGTAGTAGTGTCTTCATTTTGTGTTGTAGAGGAGGTATCTGTAGAAAAGGATCTTGTGGATTCTGATACACTAGCGTCATTAGTCAGTGGTGTTGTATTGTCTGTAGTTACTATATCAATGGTGTTTGCATCTTCAGTTGGAGTTGTTGCAGGAATGCTGGTTCCAGTTGATACAGAGGTACCGCCAGTAGTTGTCAGCTCTTCAGTAGTCAATGTGGCAGGTTTTGTTGTAACAGTGTCTACAGTTGGTTCTGAAGTACCAGTGGCACTGCTAGCAGTTGGTGCCAATACTGCAGCCGTGGAAGCAAAAAATAATATTTCAATGTAAGTTAATATTCAAATTCAGTTGGATGATTATGGTAATAAATGATGGATAACTCACCAGTCAAGAAGCACAATAAAATGATAATTTTTCTGGCTAGCTGGTTAATTTTGTTTCTGGAAAACATTCTGAAGAATGGAAAAGGTAATGAATTAAGTAATAATGACATAAGCATAACTGTACATGCAGTCATAATATAATCCTAATCCTTGATATTCCAAGAAGTATAACTATTGGCAGAATTAGTATTGAGGGAAATGACATCTGTATTAAATAATTTAATAGTCACTGTTACAAGTCTACATAGCAAGGCAAAATTAAAAAGGAAAAGGCAAACTATTTTGATTGTGACACCAATAACACCACTCTGTGGGATATTCAAACTGGTTATGTGTTCAAATTAGAATCGATTATGTTCCTCTCCCAAACCATATAATAACAAATTTAAGCTAATAATTATGTTCTCCAGTTATTTAAAGATTTAAATTCAAATGTAATACCTAGCATTTAAAATTAATATTTAGTTTATTGCTTATTACTTTAACAATGTTCTGAAAGTTTCAATAAAGCATACAATTTTCTTAGTCTTACACCATAAATGGTGTAATGGTTAGGGAAGCGCACTCGTAATCGGAAGATTGCAGATTCAAATCCCCGACCAGCAAGACACCACTGAGGTACCCTGAGCAAGGTACCGCCCCCAAGCACTGCTCCCCGGGCGCTGAATTAGCTGCCCCCTGCTATGTCACGAAAGTCACATATGGGTCAAATGCAGAGGACACATTTCGTTGTTGTGTGCTGTGGTGTGTCAATAATCACAAATAAAAAGAAATAAATACCATAAACAAATCAAGTTTTGCAAGACATTGCTTGATAAGTCATCAATTAACAGACCTAAATTTTAATAGCTCACCTGAAATAAAAATATTTTGGAAAAACAAAAATTAAGTTTTTTTCTAATTATACTTGTCATGTCATTTTTCCTCCGTTTTCCCCGTGGTGTGGTGCTAACGAGCCACACCTGTTCCTCGTTTAACCCCGCCTCTCATTTCAGCCCTCGTGTGGATGATCCCAGGTGCCTCTTGTTTCAGCCCTCGTGTGGATGATCCCAGGTGCCTCTCGTCTGCTCCCTCATCTGTGGTGTCTGTAGTGTCTCCTCGCCCTGAGCTCCTTAGTCATTATATTGTTATGTGTGTGATATTGCTACCTGCCTGCGCTCCCCAGTCTGCCCTGTGCCCTGTCTTCTCTCTTGATTGACCCCTCCCCATTTTGACCCCTCTGGGTCCTTTTTTCCCTACTTGTTGTGTTTTGTTTTAATAAAGCCCCCTTTGCTTTTCCCCATGCCTGCCTTAATTTCCATCCTTCCCGATACCTGACAATACTTAATTGTGCTTTACAATTAATGTTCTTTATATGGCTTAGCTTCAACTGAACCTTTACAAAGCCAGCAATATTTATAGCTGTTAATTTAGTTTCACCTGTACTGCTTCACAATAACTGATTTTCTTGCAATATATGAGGAATAAGACATGGAGAAGCATGTGTGGAATGCCAGTACATTACAGTTCACTTGTCATTACTAAGATTATCTCAGTTGTGCTTCTCATTTTGAATTGATATACATAGGTAGTCTGAATGGCTGATTAATAGCACCACATACGTAATACCAGGTAGAAGCCCCTGTCTCACAAACCAGTTTAAGGCTAGAGGAGTTTTTTACACACCATGGTTGCATCACCAAGCAATTATTTTTATTCCAGTCTCTGAAAATTCCAGATACTGTAGTGCAGGAAACACTGATTGTAGCTGTTTCTGAGATGCTGGAACCACCATGCCTGATACCAGAATTCACACCATGTTTAAAGTCACTTTAGATAATGCGTCTAACCATTCAAATGCTTAGTAATGTAATAACCAAATCACATCACCCTGCCTACATGCTGTATGTATTCAGCTGTAGCCTCATGATTTAATGTTTGTAGAGGCTAATATGCATATGGTGTTTCTTAAGTAGTTCAGTCAACATCAGTTAAAAAACTCATGGTTTCACCATTTTTTAAAACTAGTTCTAATATATAAAGAAAAATAAAAACCCACTATCAAGTCCAAGAAGGTTGACATTGTCCCTAAATCTAACATTTATTATGTATAATAGCACATTTTTCAGGTTACATTTAAATTGTAAATTATCAGTGACCACAGGGAAAAAAAAATATTTTTCACCTACTCAAGACATCTAGACCGCATGAAAAAAAAAACTTTTATAATTTAAAAATACAGCCATTAATTAAATCAGAAATATTTACCGGTGACTCAGTTTCATTTTAAGCAGTATTAATAGTTGGATGGATGCATGAAAGTATGTCATATAGACCTAATGTTGTAGATTGTTATAATGAAAACAACCACTACAAAAAGAAATTAATAAATTCTGTGTGTTCATCCTGTAATTACCAGCTTTCACACTTACCTTGTTAATGTATCAGTTAGCCTTTAATCTTCTGTTACATGTGTATGTAGGTCCACCTGTATATGTGTAGCCCTGTGAGTGGCATGTCACAAAACAGACTCTCCCTCATCTTATAAGTAACCAGGGGTGACGTCCTTTTTTTCTATATTGCAAAAGCACATATTTCAAATTAATAAATTCTGTGTGTTCATCCTGTAATTACCAGCTTTCACACTTACCTTGTTAATGTGTCAGTTAACCGTTAATCTTCTGTTACATGCGTATGTAAGTCCACCTGTTGACATGTATATGTGTAGTCCTGTGAGTGGCATGTCACAAAGCAAAATCTTCCTCATTTTATAACCAGGGGTGACGTCCGTCTTTTTCTTTTTTGCAAAAACACATATTTTACTGTGAAAGTCACTCCCTTCATTTTTGTGTTGGGCATTGTGAGAGCGGTGACATTGTTCCCTTTTGTTCAACCTTGAAAACACACTTTGTAGAATGTTTTGTGATGCTATCATGACTAGTGAGTGTGTTACACAGTTATAAATAAGTATGACTAAGGAACATTGAACTCTGATAAGAGTTTTGATCCCTATCAGAATCTTTCATTTAGTTGAACATGTACTGCTTCTCAATAACTGATTATTTGTACAATACACAAGGAATAAGACACGGAGAACCATGTGTGAAATGCCAATACACTTTTTAAGGGGATGGTGTGTGGCTCAGTGGACTAAGCCTTTGTGCCTGTAATTGTAAGGTTTCTGGTTCAAACCCAGCCTTAGCATTTCTGCAGGTCCTTCAGCAAGGCCCTTAACCCCCCAGCTCCTTGGGTCCTGCTACAGGTGGCTGCCCTTTGCAGACAACTTACTCTACAAAGAGTAAGTTGAGGGTGGTGTAAAGACAATTTCCCCACAGGGATCAATAAAGTATCAATTATTATTAAAAACAGAATGAAATGTGTAATTTAAATATATTCTATTAAAATACTAAATTTAAAAAAAAATCTAGTATATTGAGGCAACATTGCATTCTTTTGTTAGTTTTTCGGTCTTTTTTCATTTTCCTTTGACAGAATTGGCAGCCACTCCCCACATAGCAGACAGGTCTGGCCCGGATCTGGTGTCAAGCCGGCACTGCTGGCTGAGTTCTCCAATGGCAAGTGGTATGTCAACCAGATATGGGCCAGGTCTGGCAATGATGGCACTGTTTATGTGATGGCATGCCATATCTGGCCTGATTGTGGTTTGGCTTATGTGTCCCAGATCCGGGCCAGTATGCATAATTCTTCTCAGATTGAAGTGAGTAATTATTTGTCATTGTGAACACAGCACAGCACGCAGTGCACCACAATGAAATGTGACCTCTTGCATTTGACCCATCCGTGAAGGAGCAGTGGGCAGCTAACAAGGGCAGTGTCCAGGGAGCAGTGCTTGGGGATGGTACCTTGCTCATAAGTACCTCAGTGGTAACTTTACCAGCGTTTATTCATGTCTGAATCCTTGCTGAAGCTCATGCTCATCACAGTATGGATAGCTTAGATCTATCTGATTTGAATTTGTGTTAAACAGACTTTTTCGTTTCAATTCAAAATTCATGTAGGCCTAGCGCTTGTCATGTTGAGAGGTGCATGAAAAAAATAATTGTGTGTAATTTATCACGGCGCGGGTGCAGATTTTACTTTGAAATAATCACGGGTGCACGGGCGGGTGTGGTGCTGTACTGTGCGGGTGCAGGTCTCCAAAAGTGGACCCGTGCAGGACTCTGCCGTATATTATGGAGTTACAGCACAACGTTTGTGTGTTGAGAAATTAAATCTCTCACATATGAAGGCTTGCCCACTGATGCCTGCCTGACAACTAATCAAGTGTAAAGGACAAGATTGGTTGGTTGCTTGGTTGCCATGGCTATCCACCTGGCAACCAACCAACCAACCAATCTTGTTCCTTACACTCATTGGCCATCCGTCAACATGTGACTCCGTTTACTACTCTCTCATTGGCTCTAGCTACATTCCGTTGCAAAGAGCGCGAAGAGGAATAACAGATGCGCATTTCGAACGATGCCATTTCGAGCGGAGAGACAAGTCAAGGTGAGTTTACAAATTTATTTCTTTAATTTGTATAGAATATGTTTCACTAAGAAATAATTTAGTATTTTTAGCTGTAACTAGGCTGTTACATTTTTCCCTGCTTCATCTGTAAAGCGAGGATAAAACAAATGTCACGTTTGCTACTTGGCATCGTACGTATTGTGCTGACTCTACCAGAGCAGCTTGACTACCTGTCAGTGATGCCAACATAGCCACTTTGTTGATATATTTAGCAACTTTTTTCTAGCCACAAATCTAGCGACTTTTTCTGGTGTTATTGGAGACTTTGGGAGACTAATGTGAAAACGCGTATCATTATTACTCTTCTCAACGAGCAGCAGGTGCTGCAGTGGATATCTCCCCTGACAAAGCACTCACAGGCGGACAGTCCTGGCGCAGCAGTCACTCCCAGCTGCTGTCAGAGCAGGAGATGTTCACTCCTGCCCGTCCAATGAATCGCGCTTGCGCCATTTATTCACATTAGCGACTTTCAGCTTGCAGCCAATATGACTTATTTACTGAAAAGTTGGCAACAGTGCTCCCTGTTTACGCTCGCTTGGTATCAGGGGACACGCATTCCCCACTGGCTGCTAATGTATATCTGGCTAGGTATAGACATTTTTAAAATAAGATATGGCAACTGTGAAGTGAATCAATATGAATCAATTATTCCATTATTACAATTAATCCACAATTTTATTTTCTTGCAGGGCTGTGTTTAGATTTGTCTCTTGAAGTAGAACAGGGGTGTAAGTGACATGGAGGGGAACTGGGCTTACAATGAGTGGAGCAATATGAGAAGACAAGCACTGAAAAAGGTACAAAAACTTGTGGAATCGTTAGAAAATGACCAGGATAAAGTGAATTTTAATAGGAATGTGGAGGTTTCAGGTGGGTGTGAAGAGATGCACACTGATAGTGAAGAAGAGAGTGCGCTTAGTCTAACTATAGAGGCAGAACATACAGTACTGTGCAAAAGTCTTAGGCAGGCAAAGAAAATGATGCACTGTAAAAAAAAAAAAAGTTGAGTTAACTTTAAATAAGGCAACCTATCACAAGCACTTTTATGAGTTAACTGAACAAACAGGGTCTGAAGACAAAGCAACACAAAGTATTTTGTTAAAATCCTTAGTTCTCACAGCATAAATATATTTGTTTACCTAACAAATAACAGAACAAAATATTTTTTGTTTGCTGAAGGCAATTACGACAGATTGATCTATTATGTATTCATGAATATTTTCATAATTAAAATTTAATAAACCACAAAACAAATTTCTCTCTTTTTTTTAATAGTTTGTCCGAACACATTACAATAGTCTACCATATGCCATACACGTCTTCTGCATTAGGCATGTTTGTAGAAAAATAGTACAGAAATGTTAATCATTGGCAAATTTGTAAATTATAAAAGCAACTTTTTTCAACATAAATTGAAAGATGAAAAAAAAAGAGTAATATTTTGCCCAAAAACCCAAAACAAACAAAAGTAAAAGCATCCGAGCAAAACCTTGAACCACAGTGTATAAAGCATTCTTATTTGGCAGAACAGCAAAGTACATAAAATCCAAAACAAACATGAAAAAAAGAAACTGAGTATACGTCAAAATATACTAGATTCAAACACTGCATAAAGAATTTCGTATTATTTCAGCAGATCAACACTGAGAATACATTAACATCACATCTGAATAAACCTCAAACCTTAGTAAAGTACAGTATGATTCATATACAACATGAACTATTTTACTGCATGTAACAGTGTATCAGAAAAAAAAAAAGTTAGCTTGTACCGTTACAGCCAGATAAAAACAAAACTCAAAGATTCAGTATTCTTTAAGGCTGCAAAGATTGAACCAAATTATACATTGTAATAAATCAGTATGTACTACTAAATTTTGATTGCAACAATCATTGTCCCATTTGCCATAGCTCCAATAACATCCGCAAAAAAAAAAATTAATTTTAGTGACTGGACTCTCGCAGAGCAGGTATCACCAAGATCCATAAAGATTTTCTAAATGACTTCAAAAGTATATTTCAGTTCTTTTGGGTACTCCATATTGAGTGCATACAAGAGACTGAACAAGTAAGCAAAGGCTTCAGGCAGATCTGGAATATCCTGAAGAACAATGGCCTCTTCCAGGATTATTGCACGGTTGATCACAGTGGCCAGTGAAGCAGGAATGCCAACATCATCCTCAACCACAGTGAGGATTCCGATCTTTACACCTCTGGTGCTGTGGTCTTCAGGGTCAACATCCTAGGAGATTAAGTGATAGGAGGGGGCATTAATTGACATGTAAACATAATTACTTATTGTTATTAGGGCTTGAGCAATGGTGGTGGCTTGCAGCTTTAATTATTATTTTTATAATGTGCAAACAAAATGAACAAAGCATGCTACTAAGCATGAACTAAGCATATTTGTAACATATTACAAATAAGGTATGGAAAGGGCAACTTACCAGACACATCTTGAGCAAGAAAGCCGAATTTTCACGCAGAACGAGTGGCAGTCCCTCAAGAGCTGCTCTTTTTCTGTGTGACAATATCACTGGCCTGAAAAAAAAAAAACAAAAGAAGAAAGTTTACAAAGGGTGCAGATGCTTTACCACCTTAAGACTTATGGATTAAATGGATCTCAAATTGAGAGTAAAACGGATCATTTGTGATTAATTGCACAATGCTTTCACAGTGGGGAACAATTATATAGTTTATAATTATTCCTAAAATTAACCAGTTCAATTGGATTCCCACACAACACATACGAAAGATATGCAAACTTGCTTTAATTACCCTATTCAGGAAGGTACTTCAGTATTTTAAATATGTGTATTGTATGTTAAAGAATCTTAAAGAGTACCTGCTCATCCAGCTTGTCCAAAAGTGTCTTCATTTCTGGACTTCTAATTTGCAAAAACTTTTTTTTTTTCTTCAGCCATTTCACATATTTAAAATGTAATTTCCAGCTAGCGACCTGTCTTGAGGTAAGTTAAGGTGGCCTGGATAGCCAGCGCCACAATACAATTTATTGGCCGTTTAGTCGAGGTAACCGATTAACAAACGTCTCAAGTGATGTACATTGCCTGAATGTCACACGATGTTCTTGATATACTTAGTTCTCACTGTCTGTTCCACTGTCAAAACCGTTAAGAATATGCGCGACGTTTAAACAGTGCCGACAGGCATCCGGATAGACAGTAGAGTTGTGACGTTCGCGAACGAACCGATTCTTTTGAACGGCTCATAAACATGAACGATGGGAGCCGAGTCGCTGCTGGGGGGGAGCCGTTCTTTCTGTCGTTCTTTTTTTCCTATGCGTGTTTCACACAGATGCACACAAATTAGCTCCTCCGCGAGACAGAACAGTTATAGGGGGAG